TAAATAAATAAATAAATAAATAAAAAATAAAAAAGTGTGAAGGTGTTGGTTTAAATTCAAACTTGTGAACTTGTGACCCCAGAACAATGGATGACGGACGTCAACTGCACAATGCCACTTTTTATTAAAGTTGTGCTGATTAGGAGGAGAATATTTCTTTTAGCTTCTGATTATGGTTTATTCCTGGTAGCCAAGCTTCATGAACTATTATAAGATGCTGATAGTTCAAAGTGCTTGGAAACAAAAAAAAATTATAACCTTATGAACAGCCTCCCCCAACTTTGAGAAACAAAGTTGAATAAAGTCAATTTGGGATGTCCTGTCTGATAATTTTAGGTATAGATTTTGAGTATATTTTTCACTGGACTTAAACTTGGGCAGTCTGTACTCTGCCATCTGCTCCAGGAAAAACTACTGTGACTGTACCAACCAGCCACAGGGCATGTGATGAGCTGCTGGTCTCCTGTCCTGCCATTTTGAACAACTTGGAAGAGAAGGTAAATAGTTCTGGATTAAATAGATGCAAAGACTTGACACCGTCTCCATCTGCGATGCCTGAGAAGTTCTACCAGAAAGTATGCCACAAAATATTGTGTTTTTTAGCACAGAATCTATCGCGGTACATTTTGGACTTCTGAGAAATTATGTTGTCCCACCTTGGACATGGAATGCCCAAACATTAAGCTCTCCGGTTACTTAGATTGTTTTAGATTCAAAATTCTAGTGGGGCAATTTGATTCATGTAGCTCTTAAAGATAAGCAAAGTCTTTCAGTTGCATTTTTATCACCTTTTCCTTGTGTAATAGAGCTTTACGTTTAATTTATAGGATTCTAAGTTACAATATTTTGACTGTCAAGTAGAATGAGGGAACTTATACTAACTGAAAGTAAACTTTCAGAGAAACATTAGATAATGATCTAATGTTTTCTACTTGTCCTCAACAAACATTGGTCTAAAATGTGTTATTCTAAGCACAAAAAAAAGTTAAAAGGTTGACTCTAGAAGGGTTGGATGGATGATAATGGTTAACAGAGTTGGAATTGAGTCTAATTACTTAAACAAGAGGGAAGGAAACACTACTGTATATTATGTAATATTCAAGAATTAGGTTCAAATAACATCACAGATTCATCAGATGATGTTGATGATCTGATGTATTTAAAGTTGCTGTGATAGAATCAGGCCAGGACTGGGAATAACGTTTTGGCCTTTTGAGCAGAGACAGGTCCACCTGGTATTGATGGGAGGACAGTAAAACCCACAATTTAAAAACAACACTACACTGACAGTGCTTCCTTTCACACTGTCCCTTTTAGTGCTTGTGTTTAATACATTTAGACTATTAGCACCCCCAGTCCTGTTATCCCATAGAAGGCTGCTTGTTTACTTTACAACCTGAAAAGTGTTAACCCTTCAACAACACCTAGAAATCCAGGCAAAGGAAAATAGACGTAAGGCATGATTATTGATGATCAGATGTTTATTTGTTGGTATATGTGACTAAATTATACTAATTATACTATTAAAGGGGGCTCTTAAAGGTACTCTTATCATCTGCCGCGATTTTTTAAGCTCTCTACCTTATCTCTCCCTCTAAAGTGTTGCTTGACTGGGGAGTGCAGCTCACATACAGTGAATTACATTAATAATTGAGGTATTAGATTGCTCCCAGACCAAAAAATACTCTGGGAGTATACATTTAGTAAGAACAAAACTAACCCAGATAAATGAGAAAATGTCACAAGTATGAGCTATTTTCAATTCACTCCAGGTTAGGTAGTGCAGCCACAAACTGATGTCAAATCATAGTAACAACCTATAGGGTGATAAATTACCAAGGTGTCTTCAAAAACATCTTACCAAAAGTATTTTAAAACTGAAGGGTAACAGGTCCACTTTAAAAATGATAATTGACAAATGGCAGGTTATGGGATTTAACATAACATTTAACATAAACATTTCTCTATTACTTGTATTTATGAAAAAGTATACTAGTATGTGTTTAAATTAGTAGAAATAACTTGATGTTTCTGGTTTTTATTAAAATTACCTATTTTCACGACCATAAGGCGCACCGTACTAAAAGGTGCAGTCTCAGTCATGTGTGTCATTTCTGTATTTAACACACACATAAGGCGCACCGGATTATAGGGCGCGGGTTTTATATACTGGAACATATCCTCTACTACGTTTAAATACCTCTACTGCGTATTTAAAAATAGAGCGGGAGCAAAACTGAGTATGTGTTTTATTCATGTATTTATTACAAAGTATTAATCAAACCTGGGAGCTGGTCGTGAGACAGACACATCGCTGATGACACAGAGCGCTGTGATCACTCCTCTGAAAAAGTTTATTAACGCCTAAATTAACTTGAAATGCAGAAATGTGCCGGCAGAATATGTTCGCTTTTATTATCCTGGTGCCTGCAGTTTGGATTATTTTGATTAAAAACACCTACCAGCCGCCGCCGTGAACCCGGAGGCGACCCGGCCAGAGGCTGCTGTTGAATTAAGTTTTCAGGTGGAAAAATAGAGCGGGAGCAAAACTGAGTATGACTGTGCTTTATTCATGTATTTATTACAAAGTATTAATCAAACCCATCAAAGTCATCATCCTCTGTTTCTGAATTAAACAGCTGCGCTAAATCAGACATGCCAATTTCCCCTTCTTCGCTGTCAGAGTCACTTTCCGTACCGGGCGGCTCCTCAGAAATGATGCCGGCTTTTGCGAAAGCTCAAACAACAGAGCCAGCAGACACGTTAGTCCAAGCATCTACAACCCATCAGCAAACTGTGGCATAACTTGCCCTGCGCTGCCTTCCACTTTTCGTGAAACTGTGGTCTCAGTCTGTCATCCATTGCTCCCACGCCGCTCGCAGCCTTACTTTGAATGGCCGGTTCACACCGATGTCGAGCAGTTGAAGTTCCTTTGTCAGACCTCCCGGAATAACTGCAAGCACAGCGTTCATTTGATTGCTGTGAGATGGGCACGCATGGAGTCACAGATTAACAGCGATGGTGATGCGTGGAAAAAAACCACCTGGTCTCCAAACAAACATCTCCCTCAGCCACGCTTTCATCATCTCCTCATCCATCCAGCCCTTTTCATTTGCCTTAATAACAACTCCAGCTGGAAAAGTCTCTTTAGGCAAAGTCTTTCTTTTAAAAATCACCATAGGCGACAGTTTGTGTCCAT